GCCCGATTTTCGCTCGGTACCCGCCTCGGCCTGGGACTCGTCCCTGCGCCGGTTCGCCTGCCCCCATCCCTCGTGCCACCGCTTCGGCCGTCGGTACCCGCCTCCGCCTGGGACTCGCCCCTGCGCCGGTTTGCCTGCCCAGTTCCGCCCCTCCACAGGTTTCCCTTGGGCCTGCGACCGAGCGTGTCGTCGGGCCCTTTGTATCTTTTAGTTGTATAGAGAAGAAAGAAAGAAAGAAAAGAAAAGAATGACCAAATGTATGTAGTTTTTGTAAATCCTACTCATGCTCCTTCTACTTCGTTTCTTTCATTGATGCTACTTTGGATGCTAATACTACCTCCACTTCTAATGATACTTCATCATCTGATGCTACTTCAAGATCGGATTGAGTATGCACCCCGTGTGATAAGTGCATTTGAGCGATCTGCGATCATGCCCACGCTCAGTCCGCATGAGAAGGTGATCGACTGATTTGCGTTCTGTGTCTATGATGCATTTTTTGTAGGTGCTCCAGAGAGTCTAGTCACTCGAAGGGACCTTGCTCCTAAGGGGGGATGATGTCATAACCTGCAAAATTCCGAACTGTGAATCCTGGACTTTTTCGAGTTTTTGTTGTCATTCTGCGTGCTTGCTGAGATTTCCGATGCCTGAGTCTGTTCTAGTATGGCAATTGCTGATATCTGTGTGCCGTGTGGTTGTCTGGTCATCTGAGTAAGTGAGTGTCTGTGTGCGCACCTGGGTATGTTGATGGTCTGTGATTTGGGCCCCAGGCCTTGTATTAACCCTGTGGCCTGTGTTGGCCTATGCAGCGTGTATCTTAGAGGGGTAGGTAGGTCTGAGGTGGCCGAAGTAGGCAGAAAAGGACAAAAAGATAGTACTTTTGGGTAGGCTGAAGCAGCGCCTTGAGGACCGCTAGATCTAGGCGTATCCTCTAGCAGGTACCGACCTAGAAAAAGTGGAAAACGGTCTAAGTCTCGATGCTGCAGGTAGGATATCAGGCTGCATTGATGTTCCGGCCAAAATGGAGGGGAACCAGCAGGGCTCAAGGCTAAGTTGCCTGGAAAGGCAGCGGCCAAGTATGTCAGGAGGAGCGGTGAGTTGCTCCGCCTCATGCTTCTGGTAGCAACGCAGGAATGCTGCTGAACCGTGAGCTTGGCAGTTGAAGTGCCAAGCAGCAGCAGCAAGGTGGAGCTGCCACCCACCCCAGCTATGGTGTTCGGAGGCAGGGCGAGGTAGCAGAAGGGAATGGATATGGAGGAGGAAGGGAAGAATGAGGACGACGAAGGAGGAGATTGAAGGAGAAGGCCTACCTTGACTATGGTGGAATGCATCTTCGATTCTTCATTGCCTTGGTTGGCACTGCACCTAGAAGGCCCCTAGAGGGGGTTCCAATGTATGGAGGACGCTGGATGGTGGAATAGTCTTGGAGGTGGAAGTGGGAGGAGTCATAAGAGCTTTGCTTTGTCCTTTGAACATCCAGGGTG